TAAAATCAACATTTCTGAACGGTTTTGAAGCGTAAACGTGGCGTTTTTTCAACAAGCACGACTTCTTAGCATGAACATGAGTTTTCTGGGACATATGGCAGCTTTATTTAGTGATTTTAAGCACAGTGAAGGCTCCGGTTGCAACCGAGCTCATTTCCGACATGGAGGAAGTGACGTAACACGTCACTCACCCGGTCGTTAGCTGTTAGCTTAAAATTAGCATCGCTAGCGTTGTTCAAAAACATCATTTAATGACGGATTTCAAACTCAAACGTGGCAAAAATCCAGCGATTATACTTTGAAGAACTTAAGCAGCGTATCAGACTACAGCTTTTAAAGCGTTTTTGAACTTTAAAAAGCAGATTTTATTTCCCTAAGAAAACGAGTTTTCATTTCCGGGTCACTGACTGACACGTCTCTCAGCCAATGAGAGCGTTACACAGCAGCCAATTCAACCAATCACGCAGCGTTTTCCCAACTAGCATGTTAGATTTATCTGAACAAGTCCGTCAACTTTTCTGTCTTTTAAACTGTCAAAATGCACTTTTTCCCATTAAAAATGTAATCAATAAACTCTGAGCTTAGCTGAGACTTTGTCCAGTCCTTAAAACGTTTCTCTATCTATTTAAAACAACTCGTTCGATCTTTTTCAGAACCGAGCCGGTACCAGAACCACGTCTGAACCGTCTTTAAACAGAATAAAGCGTTTCCACAGCTCAAACCCAGCTTATGTTACACAACAGATGTACAATTTCAGCTTTCATAAGAGATCTCGACTGATTTTCAGCTTCAAAACATCACTAGCTCAACACAGCGTTTTCTCCAAGAGTCGCAGCTCAAACATGCAGTGTTTTGACTTCAAGCGTTGCGTTTCAGCACGCTGCGTTTCAGCACTGTTTAAACTATCTGCTATTTTTACATGCCAACATGAAATATTCAATTATTACACGCATACACAGTCCATTTATGAGCACGTTACGGGCAACCAATATGTAGATGAACAGATGCTTAGATATATTCATCAATTAAAACGGATT